GGTAAGTCGTAGTTCTGCAGCCGCGGAAGGGGGCCAGCGATTGGCATATGGGGCGCTGGCCAACGAAGACCCCCATATGCCAATGTGAAGACGTACCTCTGCTGCACAGCGCGAGCATGTTTAAAACACTCCTGTTTCACATCTCGGCCACCGTCGGTTTCTTCCACGCCGCCAGCAACATAACCCTGTGCCGCCGAGATTAATGCCACAGGGATCATAAAGTTCGGGGTCGCGGGGGGTTATAAATGTTGCCTACCGGAGGCCAGCATGTGGGAGGAGAAACAGATGATGTTAAGAGGACCGAAAGCCGAGGATCGAGGATCGAGAATCGAAGTCCGAGGATCGAGGACCGAGATCCCAGAAGTAGAGACAGATAGACCGACAGAAGGAGGGAGGTGGAGGGGGAGGAGGAGGAGGAGGAGAAACGCCGAAGTTCCAAACCTATTAAATTTAATATGTAAACAAACAATGGCAATTAAGATTTTCATCTGCTCGCGTAGGGTAGATCATGTGCCTCGGTTTTCGTGGATAATAAACCACAACGATAAAACAATTCAAGGGGGGGGCAGGGGGGGAGGAAACCGAAAGAGAAGAGAAGAGCAGACAGAAGAGAAAGAGAGAGAGAGAGAGAGATCAAGAGAACGCTGTTAGTTTCGCTTGAGACATCCTCGACAACGTCTTCAGTTCGTTTGATGTTGCTATCTCAACATAAGAAGGAAAGTGACCTCGATGGTGAACTTTCCACAGTGATAGAAAAATTCGGCCTCCGCGCCCCGCGCCCCTGACCAAACTCATGTTGGCAGTGGATATGCAACTCTAGCGTGTAAAGGGGGGTCCTTTTTTATCAGCGGCACAAGGTTATACATTTTCGGCAGCTGCAACATCGAATCATACGACATTCCAAACAACTTGCTTCATAAAGGTCTCAAGGTGACAGATGGTCTCTTGACCTGGAAAGTGTGTCGGACGCGCTTCGGCGTGCTCCAAGGCATTCTTTCGCTACTACCGCGAATGTCCATGAACCGCTTTGTACAATCCGCTCGCGTGGCAGGCTGCTGACTTTGCTCCGCGCCGGCACTCCTTCTGCTTCTGCCCCTCCTCTCTTCCGCCCTTTCGCCCAGCCGCGCCCCTCTTCTCGCCCCCCCTCCTCCCGCCATGTGTCTCCTTCTTCAACCGACGCCCCAATCTTACAACGACCTTACAACAATGTTACAACTATCTTCGTTTGCACAGTTGTACAATGCAGAATTCCGAAGCGCTCTGTTTTGGCTTGCCGACTCCGCCCGAGCGTCTTCCTTGGCTCAGCACTACTCCACGTAAGCGGCGCTGCTTGCGCACCTTAGAATTACAAGTGTGGCAGGGGAGTGAGATTCGCCCTCACCTTCGTCCTCCTGGTCCTCTGTCCTGGCTTTGTCTTGCCGTGTTGTCCTTGTCGGTGTCTTCGTTGCTGTCGTCGTCGTTTTTTCCGCGCCGATTCTGGCATCACTGCGCGCGTCGCGCAACATGGAGTCTCGGGCGCGGTTGGGGAGCCCCGCGTGTTCAGCTGTTTCCCAAACGGGTCGTCGTCTGGGTCCAGGTCGTGTTCGATCGTCCCAGTTCCCCTTCCCCTCTTTCCATTCCCCTCGGTCGGACCCCCCCTCGCTGTCGTCGTCGTCGCCGCTTGCGTTCCGCCGCAAGACGTTTCTGCGGTCCGCCTCTTCAGTGGAAGATGCCATGTCCCAGTCCAGGCTGAGCCTATCGTTCGCATATGCAATATGTATGTCTCCACGACGGCGCTGCCATAACTTATACTTAATTCAAACGCCATATCATTGCCAAGCGCAGTTGAATCTCCAACAGGACAATTTCGAGGGTTCAGGCTTGACCGTTCTAGATTTGCTGTCCGTTGGTTATTGTCTTTTCAGGCTGTAGATTCTGCTCAGGTGCAATGACAATCGTTGCGCGGGTCACATTTCCGTTTGTCATGAGTCGTCCCGCTTGCTTTTCTCTCCTTGCTTCCTTCCTTCCCCTCCTTCGCCCCTCCTTCTCCCGTTCCTTCCTTCGCCCTTACCATTCCACTGACACCTCGGAGTTTTCTTCCGAGCCCGCAGGGGTCTCCGCGGACATTGGCAGCATCGACGACTACAACTTAGTTCCAAACCCAATCTCACAACAGTTTTAACATGCACAAGCATGGCGGAGAGCGCGTAAATGTCGTCTGCTGCATCGGTCTCTCTTCACTTCTTCTGTTTTCTCCCCTTCCACCCGCTGCACTTGGAGCTTGAAGCGCGCACGCACAAAATGCCCTCTCCTCTTGCGGCCGGGGCGGGAGGATGGCGGCGCATTCAGTTTTTTTGCTCAGCCAGCGGGTATAAACATTTGCGGTGGAAAACGGTGTTTCCAGGCCCCACGGCAGCGACAACCCTCGTGACCAGGGGGCCTTCGCGAGCAGCTCGCCAGAAGGGTAAGTCGTAGTTCTGCAACAGCGGACGGGGCCAGCGATTGGTATATGGGGCGCTGGCCAACGAAGACCCCCATGCGCCAATGTGAAAACGTACCTCTGCTGTACAAGGCGAGCGTTTTTTTTGTCTATCTCACTTATTCCACACACTCCAGTTACACAAATCGGCCACCGTCGGCTTCTTCCACGTCGCCAGCACCAAGTACATATTCGGCAGCTACAACATCGAATCGTATACAAGTCCAAACACTTTGCTTCATTAAAGTATCAGGGTAACGAGTGGCCCCTTGACCTGGCATGTGTGTGTGTGTGTGTGTGTGTGTGTGTGTGTTGTGTGTGTGCTGTGTGCGTGTGTGTGTGTGTGCGTGTGTGTGTGTGTGTAAGAGAGAGGGAGAGAGAGAGAGAGAGAAAGAAAATGTGTGCGTGTGTGTGTATGTTGTATGTTATGTGTGTGTCTGTGTGAAAGAGGTTCCGTGTTTGTGTGTATGTGTGTATGTGCGTGCGTGCTTATGTGTGTGTGTGTGTGTGCGTGTGGGTGTGAGCCCGTGCGTGTGTGAAAATGAGGACGCTGTCTCGGCGTGGCGCATGCATTGTCTTCGGCGCGCTCATCGGAACCTCGCCCGCTACATCGCGTTCTCACCGCAGAGTCGCGCAATGCTTTTCTCTGAAGTTCCGCTCCCGCCCGTGCGCGGCCCGCGTCGTAACCCTGCCTTCGCCGAGTCGTCGGAAATAGGACCGCGCGCAAGCGCCTTCTTTCCGCTGGGTGGCAGCACGCCCCGGTCCCCGCTAAAGGGGCCCCAGAACACACAAATAAATACACACAAATAAACATATTCCCCATATTTTCTCACATTTTCTGGGTTTTTGTCTTCCCCCCCAATTCCCATATTTTCGCATATTTTCCTGGGGATCGACGATTAATTGTGTCTGTGTGTTTTTTCCCCTCCTGACCCGCATACAATCGTACCACCGTTGATTGCGTTATGGGGAAGGGGTGGGTGTGGGCGTGGCCCGCTGAATCGTTCGACCTGGCAAAGTGGACTCCGGCCCTGAGAGCCGACGAGCGAGACAAAATTGCAACATCGGGAACATCCGAATCGCAGCCCTCGAAGCCTTATGCTTCACCTGTCGAGCCCGATCGATGCGCGAGGGTCCCGGGGTCCGCAAAATGGCGAACTCGCATTGCCTTTCTAACCACGCCAGGACCTCAGGGTACCCCTCTCCCTCCCCCGGCCCCTCCTCTCCATCATCCTGGCAACCCACCCCGCAACTCTCCTGGGTCGCACTGCGACCAGATATCCGGAGCCCCCCCCCCGCACGTCTTGGCGCGGCCGCCTGCCCAGGTCCCTGAGAACCTCCCACTCCCAGGCGGCGGTTATGGACGAATCCCCGCCGCGGAGACCCGCTCGACCTGGCCAGCTTCAATGGTACTCCCACCTTTCCCTCCTTCCTCCCCTGCCATTCTTCCCAGCGCATTCCGCCCAACGGTAGCAGCCAGCGCGGGCATTCCCCCGCCGAAGGGGGAAAGCGGCCGAGACTACGCACATGTGTTGGGAGCTGGTGCCAGCGACCTGCATGCCACACGGGCTGCGGCGCTGGAGCCGCCAGTTTTCGGAGTCTGGCGTGGGTGCTGCGCCAGTCTGCCAACGACTCAGCGAGCCCTGCAGCCTGCCGCGAGCAGGACATCCGGGGTGGTCGGTCGACGCAGGGTGGTCTTCTGGACGCCTGCTCTGCCTCCTCCGCATCGCCCGCATGTCCTCCAAACCTCTCCTGGGGCGCGCTCTGGGGAAGCCTGCCGCCTGGCCCAGAAACGTATAAACGCGCGGAGGCCACGGAGCTCCGGAAATCCGGGGCCACAAAACAGCGCGATGACGGACCGCGCGATGACCTCGGACCCCCCAACGATTTTACCGCAAGGTTCGTCACTACACGGTTTTGGGATTGGGGACTATGGAGGCCCCAGGCGTCCGAGATGTCCTCGGAGATCGACCCATGTGCCAAAACTGCGCGATGACCCCGAATCCCCGCTGACTCGCCACACTGTCTCTCCTCCGAAGGTTTGGCTTCCCGGCCGTAACTCGGGTTTCTGGCGATCGTTCGTGACGATCCGGGCACCCCTGGAACGCTCTCGGCGAGGCGCAGCTGCTGGAAGGCATCCCGATGCTGGAAAACCGCCGAGAAGCAACGAACCAATCCGAGAACTTCCAACCTCGCTTCGAGCGCACCCCGAGGCAGGACTCTCCCCAAAAAACCACCGAAGACATCCAAGAAACACTGGGCCTCCACAGACGCGCCATCGGGGATCTGCTGACCCGGGTCAATCCAGACCTGGGTCAATCGGGCCTTGCAGGATCCTGCAAGACCCTGCGAGATGCTGCACCCAAACCCGGGTCAATGCGAAAGATCCTGCAGGATCCAGCAAGATCCTGCGCCCAAGCCCGGGTCAATGCGACCCTGGCCCTGCAGGATCCTGCAAGATCGGGGCGCTCTGGCTGACCCCCGTTTGGTTTGACCCCCGTCTCAAGGCTCCCGACCCCGCGCGTTGCGCTCCCCGCCGGGCCTCGCACGGGGGCGGCCGGCAGGCTGCCCCGGCCCACGTCCAGCAGCACGGCCGGGCACCTCGCACGCGGCCAGCCCGCGCTTGGGCCGCCCACCAGCGATGGCGATGGCGGCGCTGACGTGGTCGGCGTCGACGGCAAACGCTGATATCGGGGCGTTGGAATTCTCTCACGTCATGCGGTTTCGCCTGGTTTATGTCGTGATGTTGTGTTTTGCTGCAGCGTCGGATCTCTGTTTGTCTTTGAGCGAAACGCGCGCACACATCAAGGAGGAGAAAGAATAATCCGCTGCCCTTCAAGAGGGCCATCCAAGAAGCGCACCCATGCGCACTCGACGACCGGGCAGTCAAAAACAAAACTTGGAAAAACTCTGGTCTCGAGGGAACCGCGGGCAGGAGACCGAAAGGCGACTGAAACGTATGGGGCCGCTGTTGCAGGCGTTTGTTGCAGCGCCTGATCTCTGGGACCCTCCCCGCCTCTCGCTATGGAGAAAAGCTCGGCGAGGGGGGGGGGTCAGCAGTGTTCGGCCTCCCCGTGGGGCCCTCTCGCGGGGGCCCGGGCTTTGCATGGTCTCGGGCCCGGGGGCCATCACTGATCGATCCGGCTCGAACCTTTTCGGTCTGCGGGTCGAGAGCGAGCCTTTTCCAATTAAACGCTAGGCGGGCTACGCAAAGCTCTAATTGGGGAGACAAACCACACGCGGGCGGGGCCTCAGGCGGCCGGAGGGCGGGCCGGGGTGCAGGCGGTGCCGAGGAGCTTGCACAAGAAAAGGAACGCCTTGGACAGGAGCCGGAGGCGAAGACCCGGAGGGTAAGCGGTGTGGTGTTGCCGTCGACGGCGCATCGTAAACACCATCCTCCAGTGCTGCGTGAGGATGAACGCGACCAGGTCGACGTCCAGGGGGAAGAAACCCACCATGAAGGCGATGAGCAGTCCGGCTCGAAACACGACGCAGAAAGCTTGAGTCTGTGGCTCTGGCCCTGTGCATTCGCGGTGTTGTATTTTTTGTTGGGGCGTCGGATCTCGGGGACCCTCCATCTGCTCTCGCTGAGGAAAAGAAGACGGGAGGTGTTCTGCAACTGTCGGCCCCCACAGGCCATCGTCGGGCCCTGCGACCGTCGAAGGCTTCGAAGAGCGACTTGGGAATAAAACCGGTCCTGGGGAAGAAATCCCGGCTTCTGTGATACCGCGCTGTAAAAAAAATGAATAAAAAAAGAAGAGAAACAAAAAAAAAAAAAAAAAAACGCGGTAAAACGTGACGGCGCGACGTTGGATATCTGACGACGGCGACGGCGACGGCGACGGCGGCGACAAAGGCAACGGCGGCGACGGCAACGGCGGCGGCGGCGATGGCGGCGGCCACGACGGCGGCGAGTACGACGACGGCGGCGACGCTGGGCCATGTCTATCTTCACGTGCCCGCGCCGCTCACCGCCTCTCTGCCCTCGCCGCGCACCGCCTCCCTGACTGTTGTACGTCAGGTTCGTGTCGTGCCGACTTTGGAGTTGGTTTCTGACACCGCGGGGATCGTTCAACCTTGAACGATCGGCCGCTGCCGCAACGTCCAATCGCTCCACATCGAACGATTCTGGGTCCCCCGCGGCGTTCAACGTTGAACGCCGCTGGCGGGGTCGCCGCTGGTCGACACGACGCAAACCTACCGTAATTACCTCGCGCGTGCACGTGCGGAGCGCATGGCTTTTGGCGCACCGATGGGGGGCACAACAAGGTCGAACCAGAACGGGGCGTGGACTAGCTAGCTAGCGCGCGCGCGAACCATACGAACACACATGCGAAAACGCTGCTCGCGTGTCTAACGCGGGGTCGCGCGCGGCATCGACCCGGTATCCAGCCGCGCAGGGCGAGGCGGCGTTTCGTGGAACGGTGGACACGCAGCGTCTGTACACTGCGGTCATGGGACGCGGACACAGTCCGAGTCGGTGAAGTGGATGCGGGGCGCGCGCACGCGAATCGAGGCCCATGCAGGAGGCGAGGCGAAGGATCATCTGTACACGCACGTGCATCTATGGATGGATACGCGCGCGGGAACCCGCTGACACCCACTTGCCGAGGGTGAAAAGCCGTGTGCAAGCTGTTTGGTTGTCCCTCTCCCCCTTGCCTCCTCCCCCCGCAGGCGGTCCAACATCTCTTGTTGACGGGGGGCGGCGGGAGCCGGGGAACTCGTCCCTTAAAACTTGCCGACACGAGCTGCCAGGCCATCAAGGCCGTCGAAAGGGATTGAGATAATCCGATGTCCCCGTAGAAGGCCACGGAGTTCCAATGATGGCTCTCGAATGCTTCAAAGCAGAGTTATAATACAGTCAAGATGGCACCAAGAGGTCACTTGAGGCTCCGAGATGGCTTCACGAAAGAAGCTAAACGTCGTCATTTGTTTTGTGCATGTCCAACTGCTGTCCCCAAGATGGGTTGTTGAGGCTTCCGGCAGAGCCCAAGATCCATCCAAGAAACCCCCAGACAGCCAAAGATGCCCCCAAGACAGCCCCAATATGACACCAAAAACTCCAGGCTGGCCTGCAAGGCGCCCCCCAAGACAGCAGCCTCGAGAGAGCCCAAGGAGAGCCCACGGAGACCTGGAAACGTCAATATGAGGACCCGCGATGGCCCGAAACCAGGCCCAGATCTTCTGTTGCACACGCGCCCAGACACTACCCTCCAGCACCTACGAATTGGGAGAAATGGGTGCTCGCTACACCCATGGGGCTCGCCGTGCTTTCTGTTCATGCACCCAGTCGGAGACAATGCCCACAAAGTTGCACCCTCAAGAGACATCCGCATCCAAAAGCTGCTGGAGTCATGCCCTGGATCCCTGGGGCCTGCCCTCGGGGGCGCGCAGATGTCCGTATCCAAGACCGTACGAGGGGTGCTCGATCTCCCGAGGCACGACTGTGATGCATAGGATCTGGATGTATCCGGGCGGTGAAATTATGAGCAAGAAGGTTGGGCATGTGGGGCCAATGCTCTCAGCGCGCCCCTCGCACTCATTGCACCTACGATGGCGGTCCCTCTACTCTTCCCCATCCTCGTTCTTTTTCTCCTCCTGCTCCTCGTGTCCCCTTGTCCGATCCCCTTGTCCAATCCCAACGTGATCCAAGAGAAGCCTGGGAGAAGCCACAAGAGAGGACAATCTTCTCGCACGGAAAACATTGTTGCGAGAACTGCCAAAGTCGTCTCCCCGTCTGAACACCGCCTTCCGCGTGCCTCAATGTCTTTCCTGGGCATCACTGCACGTCGCTCTTCGTCGGTTTCCGGAATTTTGCCCTACTATGGCAACAGATGCAGCCAATATTAGAATCGCCCCATAACTTGTCGAGGGTAGGCGGAAGAGCGTAAGTCTCTCGACCACCGGTAGGTTCCCGACGCCAACGTCGCTCGGAAAGCGATCGATGAGAAACTGTGGGCTTCAAGTTTCCCTGGGTTTCCCAAAGTTGGCACAAGCGCATACACAGACACACGCCCGACTACATGCGAACTTTCAGGCGCTCCTGCATACGAGCCTGCGCACACATGTGCCATCAGGAAAACTGGACCTCTTACGTTTGAGACCCCGTTGATGTGTTGGTACGTTTGAGGCGTTGTTGGGTACGTTTGAAACCCCGCTGCGGAGTTGTGGCACCATGTCGCCGTCTCTGTCCCACTCCTACCCCCAACCCCTGCTGCACCGCCACCGACGCTGCTCCTGCCGCAACTCGCAACTCGCCCGATGACTCCACTCGTGGGGGATCATGGCCCTCTGGGGATCACTACTGCACATTACATTCCGCGGACATGCATGGCTCTCCTAGCATCGAAACCAGCTCGCCTTTCTCGGCTCTGAGGTGTAACATAACCTGGCTGGGCCTCCGCCGGCCCTGCTAGCGCCATAAGCCCGAGGGCGCAGGAATTTGTCATGCGCTCCCTGACGCATCTGCCTTCGAGCAGACGGTGCCACATCTGCGGAGTGAAGGGTCAGTTAACAGCTGCTTGTCCACGTGGGCCCCCGCAACCGCCCCTGGACAGCACACAGGCGCCGCTCCGATCAGTGTTTCATGGCCACTCGTGTGGCAAGGCCCACCTCCTCCTTCGAGGGCGAAGCAAGCCTGCGAAAAGCACCGGCGAAAACAACGAGAAGGTGCCTTCAAACCAAATGCTTTTTTTGAAAGGGAAGGGTAGGCTCGTTGGTTGATTCATCCTGCCTCGAGGTCTTCCACCCTGCTTTTCCGTCGGCACCTCACCTCCGCAGAGTTTACCCATGATTTTACGCAGTGGGTCGAGAGGGCAACTCCAGGCTGGAGCACTGGACTCGCTTGGATGCCTGCTGCATACTTGCGAGGAACATGCTGATGAGGAAGAAGGCACGGCACAGGGCAGAAAGGTGAGGCTCGCCTCCTACGCCAACCTCCCCCCCTCCCTCTTCGCAACCCTGCTTATCTCCTCCTTCGCGTCCTTCATAACCTCGTCCTTCACAACCTTCCTTCTCCTCGTCGGCTCACAACTCCCGAAAAACTTACAGAAACTTCCTCCTGCGGATCCTCGGGGATTGTAACCGGCTAGTGGGAGGAAATATGTCTTCCCTGAGAACAAATTGAAGTTCGGGTTTGGGTTCGGGCACAGGGAAAATCATAGGTTCGAGTTCGAACCCCCCAAGAACCCACAGTTCGAAATAAGTTCAACACGGCCCCCTGGCACAACGACGACTTGTTTCCAAACTTTTGAACTCTTGAACTCTTTAGAATTGTTCTAGCTGAAAAACTTGTTTGATGTGTTGGACTCTTTTAACGTTTGATGATTGTCGAACTTTTTTGACACGTTTGAGCTGTTCAGTGTGTTTCGAACTTGTTCCTCGCTGCCGAGCGCTATCTGAACTTTTTCCTACGTTGTTTCTCGCCGCCGATTTTTTTCAGAACATGTTTCTCGCCGCCGAACTGTTCCGAACCGTTTCCAAACTTCAGGATTCCAGCAACGTTGAACTTGAACTCTGTAAAAAAACGCTGTCTTTGTTCTGGCGCTGAACACTTTTTCTGAACTTGGGATCTTTTAACATAAGGACCGTTCGCGCCCCCT